TATTTGTGTTTAAGGCGGGCATTTTTATGGTTTCCCGTAATGTTATTGGGCTTAACAGGATCCGATTTGCTGCATGTTTCGATGTATTGCAGCCCTAAGCCCTAAACCATCAGCCCCTCAACCCGACATCCTCAAACTCTTAGGAAAACCCTAAACTTTCAACCCTCAACCTCTAAACCCTTAAAGCTGTAAGGTTTTTGTGGGGAAATCAGGGAACGGGAAGCTCGAAATGGGCTGAGGGCCCGAAGGAGTCGACCTTGAGGGTGTCCCGAAGGGCCCTTCAGTTAGGGACCCAAAGCTGTTCTTTGGAGTACCATACTTTAATGCTTTTTTGGGGACCTCTTACTTCAAGGGATCCATTATGGAATACAAGTCTATACTTTTTTAAGTTTTTCTCCCTTGTTACTTCGAAGCCAGAAAAGGACATAAGCATAAGCATTTTGTAAGAGACTTTCCCTACCGTAGTGGGCTTCATTATAAGGGGGGTTTGTATGGGATGTCCCGATCCTGATTTTTGCTCATGTGCTCTTTGGGCGCCCTATTCAGGAGGGGATCCTGCAAGGGGTCCTGAGGTAAGTGAACTAGGGTTATCCGGCTCAAGGCAACTTTACTTATCATTACTCGTACCCCCAGGAACCGCACTTAGAATGTTAGGGTGGGGAGGCGTCTGCTGTATCGAGGGATCCCAATACCCCTTAATTAGGGAATATACTTTAAATCATAATATTAAGGCCCGTATAAGTTAAGGTATATTCCTCAATATTAAGGCCCCAATAATTTAAGGTATATTCCTTAGTTAAGGGGTCTTGGGATGTCTGGGTATCGAGGTTGATGTTGCATGCCAGGATTTCATGGAACAGACTGAGGGGTCTCCTAGGCTATCGGCTTACAGTAACATGGAGGTTTCCGAAAATTAAGGGCACCTTTAAAGGGATCCTTAGAGGGGTTCCTTAAAGGGATATATAAGGGTTAATTAAAGGGTTTAGGGGTTGGCTAGAAAGGGTTTAGGGTTTGGATTTTCCGAAAATTAGGGGTACCTTATTCTGTGGTCCTTATAACAAGGAGGATCCTACTATGCAGGGTGAAACTCCCATATAGGGGCTTAAATAATTACCCCGTGCCAAATTGCGGGGGTTCCTGATTATAAATATAGTAAAACCCTATTCTAATCCTAAACCCTAAACCCTTAACAAAAAGAGCTAAACCCAAAGTACAAAGGCCCTTAGAGAAGGTGTATGGCTGCAACAGAGAACTTGCTCTTCACACTTAATCTAAATGGGTGGTTGTCAAAAAGATGGTCCCTTTTGGGTCCTTGCTATAATACGGCACCTAATATTTAGGGTACCCAAAAAGGGACTACATTTTTGACAACTACCCAAATACTTGCCAATACTTAGGCTTCCTCGATGGAACTGTACTATGTGATGCCCCCAAAGGCCTGTTCTACTGACTAATGCCCCTGTCTCTTTTAAGACCCGTACATATGAGTAGGCACTTGATGCTAACGCCCTTGTAAACATCGTCAGAACAAGAGAAGCCTCGCTCCTGACGTCGTTGTCCTGGTTAGCAACCCGGTATAAGATAGGGGCCTGACTCACGTCAATAGTGTTTTGGGGTTTATTATGCTATAGCGATGTTTGGAACTATAATCGGGGACTGTGCAGTTGGCATCTTGTTGTTGAAGTTGAACTGTTGTGGTTGCGCTGTTGGTGCGCCACAGGGCTACATGATTTCCCTTGTCTTTTCGTGTGAAATCAAGCACCTCACATGGCAGGATCGTCAGGGCGCTCCCACGTACATCACTCCAAGGCGGTGGCGTAAGTTCGCGACCAGCGTGCAACCAGCATATTTATGAGCCAACACCACTTACCACCAGAACTGCCTCCGCCGCACCAGCGGCAAGTTCATTTTCACACCAGTGTCAACATCGCCATCATCATCAGAAGCTTCGGATTTGACACTACTATCCGCATCATACTATCCCGAAAATCGTGTCGGCTAAGGTTCGGTTAATCGTGCCGGGATAAGGACGGCAGGAAGATTACCTTCTGTTCTTATTCTTCCGACTGGGGAAGCAAGCGTAGCCTGGAGTTTCAAGCCCGTGGATTACTGCTGGCATGCTCTAGGAGAAGACTACGGCCCTCACGACGTCAGCGACGACGACTACCAATCCTCACAGCCGGAATCTCGACCACCACCACCACCACCACCACCACCACCACCACCACCACCACCACCACCACCACCACCTGTAATGTCGCCAATCATCACGACAACGACCGCATTTGTTGTACTGCTGCTGCTGCTACTACTACTACTACTACTACTACTACTACTACTTCTACTACTACTCCTACTACTACTGACTACTACCAGAGGTGCTACAGCGACTGCTACTGCTGCTGCGGTATCTGCTGCTCATGCGGAGCTGCTCTTGTTTCATTTCAGCTGCTACAGTTACATAGGTAGTAGTCGTGGCAAGCACGATAGCAGCAATGCTGAGCTTGCTTGAATCAATACATAGTAATAACATCCCCTCACGGTCCCTTTAGTATGGTTACACTACTTGGTAGGGCTTTCGTGCAATTTTTAATTTCTGTGGGTGTGCGTGGGTATATAATATATATATATATATATGTACATATATATATATATATATATATATATATATCATATGTATAAATATACATACACTTGGTAACATGCAGTACATGGGGGGGGCAGGACGACCGCAAAAATCGTTTCGGCCCAGTCGACATAAGTTTTAAGTTGAGCTAAGCAGTCGATCGCCACTGTTGTATGTATGTATGTATGTATGTTAATACATATATTATGTATAACCACCTACATGAATACAAACTGACATATATACACACACATACACATACATGTCATGAACATATATATATATACACATTTATATGTATATGTATATATACATATACATATACACATGTCAAAACAGACACTGCCTTTTGCTAATAATAACAATTTAATAATAACAATAATAATAATAATACTACTACTACTACTACTAATAATAATAATAATAATAATAACAATAATAATAGTAATAATAACAATAACAATAACGTGGTTTGATAAACCCTAAGCTGAAAACACCAATCTCCGAAGCCTAAACCCCAAGAATCAACCACAAACCCTGAACCTTAAGTAAATCTAGACCCCGTGATATGAATTCTCATATTAAGTCTGCTCAATCTTAACACCCCTAAACTCCAGCCTCAACGGCCTTAGCCCAAAACTCAAAAAGCCTAAACCGTCTTGTAAACCCTGAACCTATAACCCTAGACCCGAGCCCAAAACCCTAAATCATATTAAGCTTTAACCCTAAACTCCAAAGACCCTAATCTTCACTTAAGTCGCACCTTGAAGCCTTTAAGCCAAACTAGTCGCCCGCTTTGCTTTATGTGCTACGTCGACACGACGATCAGTCGAGCAGTGGCCCGGGGCCACAGTGGGCAGGGCTTTCAGGGGTTTAGTGTGAAGGGTCTATCTAGATCGTCCGATAGGACGTCGTCCGTTAGGACGCGACCGAAAGGTCGAAGAAGGGTCCGTCCGAAAGGACGTCGTCCGCAAGGACGCGACCGAATGGTCGAACATTGTAGTCGTAGTCCAACAGGTTAAAGGTTGAGGCTCCAGGCATGTTCCAGGTAACTAGTCTTAGTTGTAGGCCCAGGTCTAGTTGTAGTCGTCCGAGAGGACGTCGTCCGTCAGGACGCGACTGCCCAGTCGAAGCCCCCCGTCCGCGAGGACGTCGTCCGAAAGGACGCGACTGCTTCAGTCGATGCTGCATCCCGATCCCCACAGTCGTCCCCGAACCCCTAAGTTTAACCAATCCAGTAGGCAAAACCCCGCCACCTCGCCCCCCCCCTCCTCAGGGTTCAGGGTGCGGAGTTCAGGGTGTTGAGGGTTTAGTGTATTCAGGGTTCAGGGTATTTTGAGTTTAATTTAAGTCTAGGGAGTTGAGGGCTCAGGATATCCAGTTCAGCGCTTTCTGGGTTCAGGATATTTAGGGCTTCGGGCATTCAGGGTGAACGGGTAAGGTCTAGAGTGTTGAGGGCTCACGGGTCAGGGTGTTCAGGGTTTAGGTTATTCAGGGTTCAGGGTGTTCAACTAACTGAGTCGCACGGCTAAGTATCGTCGGTTTCCAACTTGAGAAATTCAGGGTATTTAGAGCTTGGGGTGCACATGGTTCAGCTGGGGAGTCGTAGATAACAGCCCCGTGCCTACACCCTACACCCATGAACCCTATACACCTTAAATTAAACTATAATTTAAACCCTTAAATAACCTAAACCCTTGAATACCCTAAACCTTAAACCCAGGAACTTGAATTTCAGGGTTCAGGGTTTTCAGGGTTCACGGGTGAGGATTAGGGTTTTCAGACTTCATGGGTCAGGGTGTTCAAGGCTTAGGGTATTCAAGGTTCAGGGTGTTCAACTAGTCGCACGGCCAAATATATCGTCGGCCCCTCAACACACCAAGCCCACAAGCCCGAGCCCTCAATCCTGCGACCCAATTCCCTAGACTATGGCATGCAGGGCAATTCCACTTGACAAAGTCGTCACTGTAAGATCTTGCAAGCAGTCGACTACCTTCAAAACTTAGTCCCGAGACCCCAAACCTAAAATTTTCCACGAAGCCTGAATAGCTTAAACTGCCGAGGTCGCACCATGCGCCTGGGCTGCTCTTCTTTCTGGCACTTGGTCGTCGAGGAGCCATCATGTGCATTGACCATTGAACTGCCATTGCTGGTCGATTGATTGTGTTGATTGAGTTGCTAACCTCTATTCCTGCAGTCGATGCTCCAGAGGCAGGGTGCGGACAGACAGGCAGCATGGCACAGAAACTGAGTAGTCGATCAGCAGCATGTCTAGCAGAGGCACGTCGACAGCCTTTAAGTGAGCTTAGCAGTCCAGTCGCCGCCGCCATGAAAAAGGGGCTTGGCGCCGACTGGAGAAGATGCGTTCGGCTCCATGGAGTGCCTTGGATCCAACTTGGTTCTGGTGATTGAGTTGATTCAGATTGTCGTTGTTGTAACTGAGGAAGCGAAGGCCAAGGAGATTTTCAAGAAGAGGAAGCAGAACGAGATGGCCAAGGCTGCAAACCGGAAGGCCCCCCCCCAAGCCGAGCCGTCGCAACCCACTCGGCCCAACCAGGAGCCGCCGCAATCAAGTCGACCGCCATCTCAGCCCTGGCAGTCGCAGCCCAGCGACCCCCAACCCCAGCCGTTGCAACAGAGTCGGCCGCCGCAACCCCAACCCTTGCCGACCCAACCTAAAGGGCAGCCGAAGTCATTTGGCCCTCCTGAATCCAGTCGGCCGCCGCAGCCCCAGCTCTTGCCGACCCAACCTAAAGGGCAGCCGAAGTCATTTGGCCCTCCTGAATCCAGTCGGCCGCCGCAACCGCAGCCCTTGCTGACCCAACCCCAAGGACAGCCGAAGTCGTTTCACCCTCCTGAACCCAGTCGGCCGCCACAACCCCAGCCCTTGCTGACCCAACCCCAAGGGCAGCCGAAGTCGTTTGGCCCTCCTGAATCCAGTCGGCCGCCACAAGCCCAGCCCTTGCTGACCCAACCGCAAGGGCAGCCGAAGTCATTTGGCCCTCCTGAATCCAGTCGGCCGCCACAACAAGCCCAGCCCTTGCCGATGCAAGCCAGCTCGCATTCATCTGGCGCTCCTCCATCCAAGTCGACTGCTCCCAAGTCGCCTGGCCCTGCTGGAGTCGCCAACCCAACTCCACCCAAGTCGGCTGGCCAGCCAGCAAAGGCGACGCCCAAGCAGTCGCCCTTCGAGCCGAGGCCCGGTCCGGCCCAGCCGTTCACACCGCCACCGCACCTCGGAGAAACGTTTTGTCCAGGATGTGCATGTGCTTCTGAAGCTGAGTCTGTGTTTGTTGCTGGTAGATTCGCCACGGCAATTCTAAGGCAGTTGCCAGTTTGGGGGGCACAAGTCGGTCAACCTCTGGTGGTGCCACTTGGCTTGGACGGCCGGCTCCTTTTTTGCGATTGTCTGCTAGTGCCGATTGGCTCCAGGTCGGCGGGTCAAGCCATGCCCCAAATGGATCAGGCAGCAGCTTGGGCGGCAGTCAAATCATGATGTTTGCGGTTGCCACGTGCCATCAGACAACATTACGACTGAGACACTTAGGTGGCCGGCCTGATCAGCTGTGCTCAGGCGATGGTGACACTCGATTCGGCAATGAGCTTTTTGATTTCCGATTGCTTTCGTGGTTTGGCATTGATTGGGGAGTCTGATAATCTGAGGAACGACACGGTTCGTGACCGGAGAGAAACAGAAGAACGTCGAGTCGAGCAATGGAAACGAAGCCCGGCGACGGATGTGAAGACGGCCAAGGCAGCTTTAGTAATCACACATTATTTGACCAGTTGTGTGGTTGTGTTGTGAGTAGTTTTGAACGATTAAATTGATTCTGTGTATTGTCTAGCTGTGTAATTACAGACAAACATCCTTTAAAAGCTGAGGGGGGTGAAGAGAGTGTAATATTAATGAAACAAGTTGTAAAAACTAGCCTCTTTTGCAGGCAGAGCAACAGTCGGAGATGGCCAAAACGAAGATGATCCAAGCGAATGCCATTCTCGACGCCGCTAAAGAAGCTTTGGCTCACTATTAATAATACTAATATAAGTAGAGAAGTAGAGTGTAGTGAAGATTTGTGCCGGTGCCTTCTTCAGTATAGTATGCTAACCTGACTGATTTTTTTGGGCGATCAAAAGCTACAGGTCGCCTTTGCTTCGTCCAGCGGCTCACAGTCGGCCAAGAAAAACGCCAAGGGCGCTGCCGAACGCATCCTCAGGGAGTTGAAAAGCGAGTCGGAGGAGTCGTCCTCGTCGTCCTCTTCGAAGTCGCCGGTGCAGAAGAAGAAGAAGAAGCAAGGGCGTCCGGCAGTCGACAAGAAGGCTGACAAGAATAAGAAGGGCGCCAAAAATGTGTCAAAATCTAGGGGACGTCACCGGTAGCCGACAAGTCGTCTACATGTGAGTCGAGTCTAGGCTCTGATTATATAATCAGTCAGAGACTTCTTCCTGCGACAGTGGACCCGGTGGCTCCAGTCGAAGTTGACCTTTGTTGTCAGTGCGACAAGTCGCACGTCGATCTGAGGTCCGCCGGTAGTGGTTCAGTTATATGATGAAATAAATAATCAGTTGACTTCATCGCAGCAAAAGAGGGCAGATAGTTTTCCAGTGGATTCGGCGGCTTCAGTCGTCTTGTCATTGACCGCCTGAGGGCGACAGACACTTGTACAGCAGTCGGAATCGTCGTCGCACGACAGAAAAAAGAGTTGAGGTAGCCGAAGATCACAACCCCAGATGCCAAACTGACCCAGACAGCTCAAGGAATTGTAAGACTAGTAGTTTGATTTGTCATCCCTCTTAGCCCTGCGACTTCCCTGTATAACAGAATCATCATAAGCCTCGTCGCATGTAAAGCTGCAAACCTCACCTTAACACAGTCTTTGAAAAAAGCTTTGCTGCTCCAGGAGCCTCTGGTGTCGTCGATGGCTTTTCAGTCGAGTGGCCAGAAACTCAGTCAGAGTGTTAAGTCGTACGTCGATTCTTACAAATGTATTAAATAGCGCTTTGAATGTGGTTTTCGAGCGCCGCGAGTCGAATAGGGTTTAGCGGCGCGGCGGGAAGAACGTGGTTTTCAAACGCTGTGTGCTTGTTTAACAGGCCATGATGATCGTCGTGCTTTCTACAAGAGCAGGCAGTCGTCTGAGATCGTTTTACCCTAGCAGAACTGAGAGTCGTGTGTGTCGGCCAGGTGGACGGCGTTGGAGAGCATGCTGCCAGTCGACTGTCCACGGGAAGGCAGCGGATGCTTTCGTCCAGCAGTGCATGTGCATCCGACAGTTTCGGCATGACGTTTGTTAGAAATGCAGCCAGCACGGTTGCCATTGATTGAGCGACGTTGCCATACGTGCCGCAGTCGATTCAATGTATAGTCGTCGTAGAGTCACAGAGTCACAGGTCCAGATTTCTAAATTATGCAATTTCAGTGGTCGAGCAACATTGTGTGCGTGAGTCAGCTTCGTCAGTCGTTCTGACTCCGCAATGGCAGCAGCATCGTCATCGTCGGCGCCGTCCGCGGCCAGGCTGGAGGATGACGGAGGAGCAGTCGCCGAGCTGCAGGACCGCAGTTTCGGAGCGGATCCACCAGCAGTCGAAGATTTTAGTTTATTTAGTTTGATTTAATACAGATGTTGTTTTAATTTTACACAATAAAACCATATGCTGCAGGAGAGAGACGAGTCGCCGCCTCCTCCTCCACCGCCTCCGCCACCTCCAAGCAGTCCACCACCTCCTCCGCCTCCACCACCACCAGTGGCGCAGAGGAAGGGTGCGTTCACAAAAATGCTGGCGGGGATGGATTCCCCAGTGGACGATGCCGAGGAGTCGAGCAAGGAGGAGACTGAGAAGCCAGTCGACTCGTCTGCCAAGGAATTGACTCCAGTCGCGGACGACGTGGAGTCCAAGAAGAAGAGTGAGGACCCAGTCGTCCCGATCGGCAAGGAGTCGGAGAAGACTGAGGCCAAGAATGAGCCAGTCAAGTCGGCTGGCAAGGAATTGACTCCAGTCGCACCGGACGGCAAGGAGTCGAAGAAGAGTGAGGAGCCAGACGTCCCGGATGCCGCGGAGACTGAGGGGGCAAGAAGCCAGTCGTCCCGGCAGGCTCCAGTCGTCCAGCACACCAAGCAGCCTGAGGAGACAGTCGTCCAGCACACCAAGCAGGAGACAGAGCCTCAGCAGCCAGTTGTGCAGGACAGCAAGCAGCAGGCGGAGCCTGAGGAGACAGTCGTCCAGCACACCAAGCAGGAGACAGAGCCTCAGGAGCCAGTCGTGCAGGACACCTGGGAGGAGACGAAGCCTCAGGAGCCAGTCGTGCAGGACACCTGGCAGGAGACGAAGCCTCAGAGCCAGTCGTGCGGGACACCGAGCAGGAGACCAAGCCTGAGGAGCCAGTCGTCCAGGACACGGCCAGTCGGCAACCCTTTCAAGGGAGGAGATCCGCAAAGAGGCTGAGCAGACTGTGGCCGAGGCACGTGCTGTGAGCACCCAGCCGCCGTTTAGTGAGGCTTGCAAGTATGTGTCCGCGAAGCGCCTGGAAAATGCTGCAGAGAACTTCGTGGACGAGGAAGAAGCAGCAACAGCAGCGGCAGCTCCTCCTCCTCCATGGGACATGCCGGCAGAAATGGAGGAGTGGGTGCCAGCAAGGGCCAGGGCACAGTTGACCGTTCCAGAGAGAGCGGAGTCGACAAGGCCAGCAGAGGAGTCGACCGTTCCAGAGAGAGCGGAGTCGACAAGGCAAGCAGAGGAGTCGACCGTTCCAGAGAGAGCGGAGTCGATGCTGGCAACAGAGGAGTTGACCGTGGCGAGAGTGGAGTCGACAAGGGCCGCAGAGGAGTCGACAAGGCCAGCAGAGGAGTGGGCCGTGGCAGCGGGGGAGTCGTCCCGCCCGGAGGCGTTGAGCCTGGAGGCAGAGCGGGAGGAGCTCAGTCGACAGTCCAGGCAGCGAGACCCCAAAGGATGCGGTTCTGCTGGTCGTTCAGGGCGCAAAGGGGCGAGGCCCCTTTCCCGAGGAGGCCCACGGACATGGAGGGCGAGTCGTCGCTGAGCGAGCACGAGTCGGATGAGCCGCCAGTGAACAAGAAGGACCCAAGTTGGCCGCCCTTCTTTCCGGGACCGTGTGGCGACAGGGCGCTGTGGGGCGTCCACGGCATCGCCGAGAGAGCCGAGCAGGACCAGTGGCTCCGCGAGGTTCCGCGCGTCGTGAGCAGCGGGATGCCAGTCGCGAAGCCCTGCAGTGGCCCGATGCCCCTGCCCAGTCGACAGCTCCAGCTCAGTCGCAACCCGGAGCTCCACCAGTCGACCCAAGGGCTCCAACCAACCCACAGGCAGCCGGCCCAGTCGACAATCCAACCAATCCACCCGGGCAAGACAACACAGCCCAGCCAAAGGCGGTCGGCCCGCAGCGAGCCCCAGTCGACCCGAACACACCAGTCGCAAAGGCAGCCGGCCCCGGTCCAGTCGTCAACCCAAAGGCAAAGGCCGACCCCAAGGCAAAGGCCGACCCCCAAAGCAAAGGCCGACCCCAAAGCAAAGGCCGACCCCAAAGCAAAGGCAACCAACCCGGCCGACCCGAAGCAACCCCCCACCAAGGAGCCGCCGCCGCGGCCGCCAGTCGACAACCCGGCGGATCCTCCTGCTTGGACGACCAACCTGAGCCCGCCCCCTGCAAAAGCACAACAGCAGCAGCCAGTCGCAGCAAGTGCAGACGGCGTTGGCCATGCTGACCCGAACCAGCCGAAGGCCACGGCCAAGGGCTACCTCGCTCCGCTCCAGCAGTGGCAGGTTCCGCGAATCGAGGCCGGTGAAAAAAATAATGCAGAATCATAAAAAATAATAGTTAAATTACTACCAACGTTAAATTAGTACCAACAATGCGCAGTACAACACAGTGAAGGTATTAAATCATATGTTTCTTACCTGAGAAACCAAGTAAATTCATGTTCATGACCTGGACAGATTCTCAAGAGCAAAAACTAAGATCACCCGTCAGGTCGTCCGTCGTCTCTTCCATGAGTCGCCCGCTGCAGCAGACGTTCTGTTGAGGCAGGGGGCAGACGCCCTCGCGTTCAACGTGTCTTTGTCGCATTCAGTCAGTCGTTCCTTGTTCCTTGTTCTTGTAAGTCCTGCCTTTCGTCTGAGTCTTAACTTAATAATAATAATAATAACAAAATTAGTTGTATTTAATCAGCATCAGGCGGTCCTGGGGATCCAACTTCACCCCAGTCCTCGGGGGGCTGCATACGTAGCCGAACTTGTGGACAAATGCACTCGTGGAGAATGGAACTCCACTTCTCAGTGGATCATGACGTGGGTGCAAGAAAAGACCAGGTTGTTGAGTCGCTCGGCTGTGATGTAAGGGTTAGATCAAGTTACTATTAGATTAGGGTTTCGGCTGAACTTTCAGGTTCCTCGAACCAAACCTAAGTTTAAGTTTTGAATAGAACACATAATAAGAGATTCTCTTCCCTGAACTAAGTGCGAGAACAGCCGGCTGCCTGGTCACAGTCGATGCCCGAGCGCGAGTGGGGCCAGTGGGCGAGATCGGGTCAGTGGGTGCCGGACCGCTACGACCAAATCGAGCAGGGATTTTGGAACTCAGTTCCAAACGACTACCGGCCGAACATGTACCGGTCGGAGTCTTTGTTGTATTGAGTGTCAGTTTTGAAGCGTGGTATTATTGCTGTCACTGTTTTTTCATTGCTTAGGCTGTAATACCTGCAGCTACGACGTTTAAAGTACATGTCCGAATAATATTTAAATTAATAATTAATACATCTGCAGGACCAGACTGGCGAGTGGCGCCGCGACGGGCAGGGCTGGTACAACCAGCCATGGCCGACGCAGTGACTGAGTCGGCCAACAGAGTGGGTCGCCGCGACCTTCGTGACTCACTGAGGGCTTAGTCGATTCCAGGAGAGCCGCCGTGACAGACTAGAAAACATATCATCATTCATTGTCCAGAAGTCAGAGGACTGACCAAAGAAGCAAAACAAGACTGATAACAAGGAGATGAGTAGGTCAGTCGTCTGCTTTTGCTCTCCTTGATGCGACCGCCCCAACTTAATTGCTGAGACTGACACATTTTGTGTTTTTCAGTCGAGCCGCCTCGTGGCAATCACATCCTGCCTTGAGGCACCAGTCGAGCTTTCGTGAGTTCAGTCGACCATTTAGTCGAGCCAGTTGACCTGCTGGCGACGTCAAAATGCCGAACTGTGCGCCTATGCTTTGGTGGTGTAGCTCATGTTAGATAAATACCTTGCGGTGAAATCATACTGTCCGTTGTCTGGCAGGCACCAGCCGGCCGTCTTTCCACATTGCCTTGGCCCTGGAGTTCCACGAATTAAGCGGGCAGACAGAGTTGAACTTGTCAGGGTAGTTCTTGGGAAGTT